CAGCGTGAGCATCGATCCACGCAATTGGAATACGATGACATGGGTCAACCAAGTCAGCGAGCCTGACCACGTGATTCTGTTAGTCGCCTTTTACGACAAGCATGGGTTACTGAAGATCAATTCTAACCCCGGATTTTCACGGGTCTGCCCTCGGTGTCCTCCCACTTCACCTAATTTTTACCCGTTAGGTACGGAAAATTAATTAGGTGATGTGGGTATGTCATGCCTGGTTGATTACTCAGGATGAGGCGAAGTGGGTATGGGAGAGTCCATATAATGTGATCAGAGGGGGTTTAGCAACCATGTGGATTAAAAGAATGACAAAACTCAGTGATAGAATTAATGAATATATTTTATATGCTTATATATATTTTATATATTCAGTTGATAAATTAACATTTTATGATACATACATGTAATTATGACATGCTCAGTAATAATCAATACATGTACTACGTGTAGATCTATATACAATAATGAAATAATCAGATGTGTAAACACAAGTCACATTCAGTCCCAATTCAAACAACGGTATAAGAAGCGTCGAATCATAATATAATAAGAACTTATAATCCATAAAGTATCATACATGTACCTCTCTTACGACTGACTGACTGAGTTTGGTTTTACGCCGCTTTTAGCAATATTCCAGCAATATCACGGCGGGGGACACCAGAAATGGGCTTCACGCATTGTACCGATGTGGGGATTCGAACCCGGGTCTTCGGCGTGACGAGCCAACGCTTTAACCACTAGGCTACCCCACCGCCCACCTCTCTTACGCCTCTATATAGCTGAATATTGCTGAGGGCGGCGTTTAACAACAAACAAACAACTATGTGGGAAGTGAATTCTCCACACGTCTGTTGGCATGGCGTGTTGCTTGTTCGTTGCCATTGTGATGATACAACCAGGAAGTCTGGTACATAAGAACAATGTAAAAAGGACCTCACTCATAACACATAACTGTTTGCCTATTCATATTTCATTGAGAAAAAAAATTCTGTATCAGTAACATCAGAAACAGGTAAAAGCCAAGAGCTGGACAGACATTATTGACTAGAAGAATCACACGAGATCTCGCGTGGTTCAGAGGACTCTCGAGAGATCGCGTCTGACGTGACTGTATCTCACGAGACCGCATCTAATGAGAATGAAACTAAACTATCCGAATGAACCCACAACCAACATGACATCGTCTGAATGTATACGCATTTAAGATGACGCGTGATGTGACATCGAGTCGGCTCCTTTAATACTTTACGGTAATACACTCAACACTCCTCAGCATTAGGAGGAACCTTTACTGGAGCTGGATTTACTAGTTCCACTAATTCACATAACTAAAACACGATAAGTTGTTCACTGGTCTCGAGGGGGACATGGGTTGATGTACCCTCGATGTTTGTTTGTGTTCCCTGAGCCCGAAGGGCGAGGGGAACATAAACAAACATCGAAGGTACATTAACCCATGGTGCCAGTATTTATCTTACCGAACCCCTCAATGGTAACTCTGAACTGCTTGAATCACGGGTATCACGGGTATCTGGTACTCCATAGTATGGAGTACCAGACGACAAGACGACAAGAACAACAAGTTTAGAGTTATTTCCCTTCCATCGATTTGCATTCGTAAAACATCGGTAATTTCCAAACATCATACGTGATTCAATGTTATTCGAGATAAGAATTACTGCTACGAAGTACCAAATGAGTTCGGCATTCCCAGCGGGGTACATAGAAAATGTTACTCACTTGTAAGCTGGGTACGTTGAAAATAATAGAAGAGCGCTCAGCCAATCACAAAACGACATTTATGTGTGAGGCAAGATAATACGTAATATACTTTTGCATGCTGGATATGTGTTTCCGTCAAATCAAAACTGATTATTTGCTTTAAGGGAGTATATAGCCACATCATGGACAGGTCAAGAAAAAAACATCCCCGATAATCTGGCTATTCTGATTGGCTACTGTGAGAAGGCGGACCCAGCAAAGGGAGGTAATAAAATTATCGGGCCGAGCCGTAGATGCATCCAGGTTCGAAATGGAGACTTATCGGAACGTATACCCTGGAGATTATCGAGGATGAGAGATGACAGGAGTCACTGATTTTCCAGGTCAAGCTTATATATAAAGATTATTCGCTAACAAATTTTGTGCCACTGTTTCGGGTACATTGTACCAAAATGAAGTTTCACATCCAAAACCCAACCCAAAATATCGAATGGTCCCTCATTGGTCTCACGTCTCAGACATATTATCATTAGTAAGGGTATCTGTGAAGGTAAATCTTCACCTAAATTGAAACATTTCGCCCTCATAATACAATCACAGTCAAATCAGCCGGAAAATAGAGGATGTAATTTCATGAACAAGAACAAAATTAATGTGATGTAGATGATGACTAAGTTTAGCATTTCACGATTTCAATAAACAGAGTTACCAACAATCGCTATTCGGATTAAGCCTCCACATCTAAAACAGCCAATGTAGTGAGTGAAAGAGTATGGTTTTACGCCGCTTGTAAGCAGTATTCCAGTTACATTACGGCGGGGTATGCCAGAAATGGGCTTCACACATATACCCATGCTTGTGGGGAATCGAACCCGGACTTTCGGCGTGACGAGCGAACACTGTAACCAATAGGCTACTCCGTGGCCCCCAGTCAATGGACGTAAGGGAAATGTTATCAGAATGTGCTAAAACATATAGTTCCATGTGTTTTCTCATCAGTCACTTTGCTAAGTTCTTTGACATATAAACCAGAAGAGACATTTTTGTCTGGTGTTTGTCTAAGTCTTACAGTTCCATGACACCCCGCGATTTCGCATGAACGGGATCAAAGAATGGAAATTATTAATATCTTTGACTGACATGCTTAACGGCGCTGACATTTCATGCAATTAGAAGCCTCCCTGGAATGCCATACAACAGAGGGGTGTACTCTCACGTGCCGTTCTCGTCCGTCCGCGTAATTGAACAACCTCCATTCTGACCGTGTTTGTCCGGTCCCGTCATTCTCTCGCAAATTGAAGTCATATCTCGCGAGATTTTACGAAATGAAATTAGAAAATCGTATTAACTGGTACCTCCGCTGGAATGCGCAGCTGACTGATCAAATACCACAGCAGTGGAGGGTAAAGGATGGTTCAGCATGTTTTGCACATGTGAGTGGTTGGTTTTGCTTCCTGATCACGACTACGGGACATTTCCGGTTCACAACAAACTAATGGGATCCTATGGCATCCTCATGGCATCCTATGGTATCCTCATCGCATCCTATGGCATCCTCATGGCATCCTCTGGCATCCTCATCGGATCCTATGCTCGGTCGGAACTTCAATGACTAGGGTCACGATCCATGATTTTAATATGTACCAGGACAGTAGTGTTAATTAAAATATCTCTTAACGTTACGACCTGTCGTAACTCTGTAGTTTATCGTATGTTTACGAATGTCGTAGCTGTGATCTTCGGCATTCAGATTATTATCGTCTGAATGGCAATGGTCGAAGCCTAAGGAGAGGAGGTAGGGGGGCCTAGTTGTTAAAGCGTTCACTCGTCACGCCGAAAACCTGGGTTCGATTTCCAACATGGGTACAATGTGTGAAGCCCATTTCTGGTATCCCCCGCTGTGATGTTGCTGGAATATTGCTAACAGCGGCGTAAAACTAAACTGACTCACACTCACTCATCTATGGTGTTACTCATGGGGTTATCTTTCCCTCTCTGATTTACTCTCTATCTATCCTCTTTCTTTCTCTATCTCACTCTATTTCTCTCTCATTCAATCTCTTTTTCTCTCTCTCTCTCTTTCTCTCTCACTCTCTCTTTCACCCTTTCTCTCTCTAACTCCCCCCCCCTCTCTCTCTTTCTCCATCTCTCTCTGACACTTGTGAATCAGGATTTTTCTACTGCGAACGGTACTGCACTAAACGGATTAACTGGGTCAATGGTTTCCGAATCTATCATCAACCTTCTTAGTCTCATGTGGTCAGTTGTCAATTATAATAAGTAAGGCCTCGATCAGAGTTACAGACTACCAACTGGTGCCATGATGAGAGACTGGAAGAATAAGAAGAAAGTTACCGTCATCATTAACCATCTCCGTATCCATGACAACGAGGATCAAACTGTAGACATGCATCATGAATGTGTAAAAAACACAAATGAACCAAAGCATGCGTGGCTCCAACTCGTTCCCATAGCAACCTAGAGACGATGGGTCCAACCAGTCAGGCTCCGAGACAATCCTTGGTGGTTGTCTTATTCTAGTGGAAGCTACGTCCGTCTAATTGCTGACTAAAGTGAGCGAATTGGATTTCACGCCTAAGTCAGCAATTATTCCACCATGTCACTGTTCGATCTAATTAGAGCGCAGTAGCCAGTAGCGAATAGCCTGCCAAACATCAGAATCAGACTCTAGGTGCAGGAGATGACTAGCTACTGACATCACAGAGCTATAAGATTCTTCATGGGCGTTGAGAAATACATCCCTAATCTCAGTGTTAGCGGTGACTCAGCTTGGACACCCGCAGTGTGAGACGGTGGACAACAGTAACCAGAACACATACACATGAGTCAACATGAGTAAAAGACGGATGAATAAACGTGTATTTTATGGTCTAAGAATATGAACAGAAAATGCTGGACTCGACGAGGTAGAAAATATTTTGAAGTTAAAACAGCCTGTGAATTATTAGAAAGCTGTCTTTTTTAACCAAAACAGCCAAAAGTATATCTTTAACACCTACAAACATCGAACTGGAGAGAGAAGTTGAATGCTGATCCTCGTCACAGTCGTCCATCTACAAATGAATTCCCATGCTTCAAATACTCAATAAACCCAAGAAATTGGCCAACAGATGATGTTTATCTCCTAATTCTGATGCCACACGTAGGGTAACAGACTGAGCCCAGCCAAGTTTGAGTAAAGCTATCAGTGACGTTATGATGACGTCATGTTTGATTATGACGTCATTTTTACCTCGAAGACGTTAGACGTTTCATATTATTATGGCGTGACTGAAGGCAGAAATAGGCTGTGTTTACCTAGGAAGTACAGTATATGAAATGCGCCAGAGGACATGTCTCTCCTTACTTCTCATTTTCTTCGCTGACAGCCTCAGGGCTGAGGGTTTGAACATCACGAAGTACGATCATCTAGCGTCAATATTAACTCGACACCGAGCAATAAGAGATGCCGAATTCGACGAAGCTCTCAAACAATACAGTCCTGTTCTGAAGAAAGTTGGCCTTTTTCATGGCCGCTCATAAATACCTTACCAAGGATGTTAGGTACAAAGGGAGAGAACTCTTGGAAGAAAGATCCTACTTCCGTCACTTTCCTATTCCTCGCCTACGTCGATTACATCACACAGCCTCGAAAGCTTGTCAACTTGGGGCGTTCCGATGTTTACAGGAGATTAATTCCAAAGTTGAGAAATTTAACACTGAAAGAAAATCCGGCTCCAACATCTACCATCCTTTCTATAACAAGGTTGATTTGTTTCAGTACAGGACAACGGCGAGCTATTTCTTGTGTATGTACACTCTGGAACGCAATGCTATGATGAAGACGATTCACATGGCAGGGAAGTGTCTAGATGGGTTTCAGAAGACAAGGGAGGCAAAGGAATCGGGAGTGTTTGTAAACGATTGGCGGAAGGACGATGTGGAGTATCAGTGCTCCCAAATCTATTACTGTCCAAATCCTTGCTACGGACGCCAAAGTCAGGGTAATATCGTCTCCTTCTTCAAACAATGGAACGATCCAGGCAACCCGTGTCGTGACCTCAAAAACCAAAAGTGTTCATGGGCGCCGGGCCGGAATTCGAACTTCGAGAGTCTCATGCGAAACCGCTTCAACATCACCTGTATCTGTACCAATGACCGGAAGGGCTTCGCGTGGAACTCTCGCTTCAAGATGTGTGTGGACATTGACGAGTGCCATAATGGGAATGTGGTTTGTGAGAAGGGGAAGATGTGCCAGAACACCGCAGGTAGCTATGTCTGTGTGTGTCCGAGGGGGAAGATGTTGAACAAGAAGACTCAGAAGTGCGAGGACATTGTGCTCCTACCGGAAGTTAAGAAGGCCAAATCGAAGCAAAGAATTAACAGGAATGACAAACCAACGCTTCTGCGGCAGCTGGAGATTCTACTGGGGGTGTCATCAGCTGCAACAGCTGGTGGAGCTGCAGGTTGGCCAGGTGTTCTGACTCTGTCTTTGACTCTGATCATGATTGTTTGAAGGTGCCATCCTTTAGAGTGACTCACAGGAACTCATAGTTGCAGTTTCGGGGCGATCAAGTCTTTGCTGGCGTGTTCCCTGTTTAAATAGTTGTCCGATCACAGCTCCACTTGTGTCCACTGGATGCAAGGAGTCAAACCCGTCTTTAGGCGTAACAATCGAACGTTCAGCTATTACTCTATCCCACCATGTCTGGTTATTAATCACCAAGAGAAGAGGGGGCTGTGGGGTAGCCCAGCTGATAAAGCGTTTGCTCGTCACGCCGAAGACCCGGGTTCGACTCCCAACATGGGTACAATGTGTGAAGCACATTTCTGGTGTCCCCCGCCGTGATGTTGCCGGAATATTGCGAACAGTGGCCTAATAACCATACTTAGTCACACTTACATTATGTTGCCACGACATATGACCGAAACATTTAAACACAAGCGTTATACCGAACATTGTCTCCTCTGAGTAACTTCTTTGAGTGGCATGTTTAGAAGTTGGAGAATCAGATAAGGACAAAACTTTATGGATGAACAACTTCTTTATTCGCATGATGCGACGTTTCGATACCGATTCTTGTATCGTTGTCCAGCAAGTATGAGTCAGACTGAGACAGGTAGAAATATATATACAGTAAAATAGTTAACAAGAACAACAAGAAGTTAATAGGGAAGTACACTACAATGTGATGACAAGGGATTACATGCAGAAGCCAGTGACAATGAATAACATTAGAAGCCAGTGGGATGTACAGAGGGGTTGGACATGTTTATACAAGTTGCACAAGCCGTTAGGATTGGTTGATTAGTTCGTTCGTCTGCTGAGTGGATGAAATAGCCTTGACTTCTGTTAATCAGGGGTCGGTGTCTTTTGATGTGGATGGCTTCAGTTAATTTCCGTTTGGTGAAGTCAGGTTGGCTGGTGGCCATTATTGTGTATTCTTTCCAGTTGATTTGGTGATTCGGATTGGTCTGGATGTGTTCTGAGATAGCTGATTTGTTGTCAGATTTGGTTGTTGACGCCTGGTGCTCTTTACTCCCCTGAGTAATCTATACTATTGTCTCAACAGTATAATTCTTGCTTGAAGATTGATAGTAATTGTCTTTCTCTACTGTGGGATGGAAGTCCCAGTCTCCTAAGGTGCCAAGAAGTCGCATTGCAGAGTGGCGTCCCTTAGGCGTACCAGACGTATGATCGTTGGTTCGAATTCCGACGCGCCCCCGTTATGTAATTTGTTTGTAAGCACCATACAGATGTTTGTGGGTTTCAGCGAAGTTCAGGGTAAAAGTCTAAAACTTCCAAACTGCGGGCTTTCCCCCGCATCAAGCTGACACTCCGCCATATCACGAATATTAAAACATCTAAACCAGCTTGTCCTAGGGTGAGGGAGGTGAAGTGAGGTGAATGGTGTTAAAGTCGCACTTTCGACTAAACATTTCGAATATTTCACTCATATGACGACGTGCATGCGTGTGTATGTGTGGCTACTTGTACTAGCCCAGACTTAAGCTAGTTTCATAGTGCTAGCCCACTGAGATACCATGCCGCAGTGAAGCATGAATACCCTACTCAGACACATTATACTGACTCCGAGCCGACCAGTCCTTGTTGTACCCATTAATGCCGAGCGCCAGGGAGGGATCAACAAGTACCATATTTTAACGTCTTTTGGTATGACGCGGCTGGGATCGAACCCACGACCTTCCGCTCTCCGGGCGGACGCTCTAACCACTACTCGTGCTCGTTCTAAAAATGGTTAATAGCAATCCAGATACGTAAGGACACTTCAGATTATCGTTTTAGTCATTCTTCTTTAGCGTCCGTTTTAATAGTTCTAACTACACTTTCTTTCTGACAAAAATTAAAGCTCATTACTGTCTAAATCAATCCAACTTAACCCATTTCACAGTCTTAGTCCGGGAAAACGCGTATGCTTCTTGCGGTGTCCTTATGGCAAAGTCGAGAAACGAAGAGCGATGACAACAAAACCATGTGTTTGATTTTACTTTTCATACTGGACAAGTGCTTGCGCCATACCATCAATCAAGGCGAAATAAAACTGCTTGTCTGTCCAATTAATCAATTAATGGCTTGTTACGTTAGCGTCTATATGGAGGATTAAAATACATTTCCACGGAAACACCAACCATCAGATTTCCCAAGATTTTAATTAAGAAATAAACGGCAGGAGTGGGTTGTTTATTGTACAGTTAAAGGCACAATGTCACAAATTTTCGACAATGTTTTGGCCTATTGATGCAATAAAAGACTTATTATCCCTACGACTTGCCTGAAATCGATAATTGAAGCTTCGAGGCGAACAGCTTACAAACAGAGAACACTTGCCATATATGGAATGTAAACGATTGCTCCGTACATCGAAAACTGTCGCACGCGATGGGCGTAGACTAAAGCTTAGTCTCAGAATATATATAATTTTGATAGTAACCAACAAGCCCATTTAAATTCAAAAGGAGCCCCCGGGAGACCAGAGATTCTAAACCTGAGGAAATTTAGACTTGCTTTATTTAAGGCTTTAGCACTGCCGATAGGGCTCGGCAGTAGGGAAAATAATGTGGTTCAGGGTCTGTGAGACAGACTAGCGGTGGCGGTGTTTGCCTTATCACAAGTTGTCCGCAGGATATTCGTAAACAGCGCTCCAAGGGACATAACTCTATGGGGTTCGCTTGAAATATTGTACGGCTGGTAGAGGGCGCGAGAGTCGATTTAATGCAACTTTGCATTAATTAATAGAACTTTTTTAATCAGTATTGTAATCTAAATACGTAATTTAAAAAAAATTACATTTTATGGTAACTGTCCTGGGGGGCTGATAGTATTATTGAGAGAAATGCATTATGTATTTTTAAGAGAAATATGGTGTGACATTGTGCAAGGAGAATATACCACAGGTGGCGCTATGGCATGCAGTGTTTTATTTGTTATTATCACGAAATATTGTTTACGCTGCTTTAACCTTATGGCCTTTTAAGACAATAGGGCAAGCCTCGGATATCTGTAACTTTATCAACTCGTGTTGATATAATGGATATTAGTAGACACTTGGTTGAGATTCTCTATATATTGGACAATAATAATTTAAGAATTCATGTCCCAAATAAAAATAGTGTGAATAAAATGATTGCACGAAAACATATGATTTGACTTTGCCATGTGATTTCAAAACTGATTAATAGCGGTAGATGTAGACTCTTTTTGTTCAAATAATATACAGTAGTTATTTTAAAATACTTACAGAAAACGACTGAAGAGGAAGTACTTATATATAAACATTAGCTTTCGTGGTGATGGGCCGTCAAATCTTAGGCTTCGGCCAGAGGTGGTTATAGCGACTTATTATCCATATGGTGAAACATAGCCAGTGCCATATATATCATATGTACACATGTGCACGTATCACTTTTGCCCGGCAACCACTGTACTGTTTCCGTATATCATCGTTTGTGACGTCATTAAACAATTGAACGTGACGTCAATAAACAGGGCTGTCACACTTGCTTACCGTGTTTTACCGCACAATTGTACATGAATAAAATGGATAATAAAGAAATTATTACACTCGCGAAAGTGTGCCAATTGACTTATACGAAACTCGTGCAAAAATTGTATTGCCCTCGCTCTCAAATAATTCGTGAAATTAAGATTAATTGGTAAATAACATTTTCTTATGAAGCAAGGAATCTGAATTCAGTGTAACCATAGTTGTTTGTAGTGTTTCTTTTCACTTTCACACGAGAGAAAATTCGGATCGGCTGAAAGTAGGTCATTGTCTGAATTGGTTAATGAGACTCATGTTTCGGTTTGTTCTTTACGGCAAGCATGTTGGAAATGTGATGCCGAAGATCAATTCTAACCCAGTTTTTCACGGGTTCAAACCTGACGACCACCTGGTCCCGTTAGAAATAATGAAACCAATGAAACACAACTGTTTTATGTACACTATATATACATATATATATATTGCATTGATAAATAAAAACAGAATGCCTTTTTCTCCAACATGTTTCGTTCTTTACTCTTCAGGGAGATTGTTTGTTGCAACACTCGCTACGCTCCCTCTTATCCTGCAAACACGACATGCAGCCTGCTCTGTCGTACAACGTGCTCTGACAAACGGAAATCTGGAAAAGAATCTCCCTGAAGAGTAAAGAACGAAACATGTTGGAGAAAAAGGCACACACACACACACACACACACACACACACACACACACACACACACACACACACACACACACACACACACACACACACACACACACACACGTATTTATACAAGTACACGTGGCATCATTACACAATAAATGCATGCACACGCACATACATACGCACGCACGCACCGACACACATGCTTAAACATATACCTTTCACATTCAGCATTAAAACTATTTGCAATTCATTCATTCAAGTCCATGCCAATCCGGTGAGACAGGAATAAGTCATTTATTCAATGTAGAAGCGCGTTGTGGCAGAATCATTGAAATCCATTAGGGAAATCACACTTGCTTGTCTATGGTTTTACAAGTGAAGAATTGTGTGACATTTTACGCTTATTGAACACACTGACGAGGCATGAGTTCATGGTGCCAGATGTCAGATAAAAGGGAGTGAGTAATGTTTACGTCACCTTCAGCAATATTGCAGCAATATTGCAGCAAGATCACGAGGGGGCAACAGAAATGGACTACTAGTATACACTGTACCAAAATGTAACCCATGTCTTCAGGACGATGGTGTAGCCTAGTGGTTAAAGCGTTCGCTCGTCAAGCCGAAGACACGGGTTCGATTCCCCACATGGGTACAGTGTGTGAAGCCCATTTATGGTGTCCCCTGCCGTGATATTGTTGGAATAATGCCAATAGCGACGTAAAACCAAATTCACTCACTCACTCACTCACTCTCACTCACTAACCCATATCTTCAGTGCGACATGCGAATGCATTAACCACAAGTGATAGGCTACCCCACCGCCCCACTATTGAAAGAAGTCAAGTACTATTAATGAAAGCAGCGATTCTTCGGCAGTGGCAACTGGTACCCCAGACACATAAAGGTCAGAGGGCTTGAAAACGGTATAAGAACCCATACCGAAACGTCGCCATTGTCAAAATAAAGAAGTTGATCATCCATAAAGTCTTGTCATCTCTTCGGCCAAGATACGTTATGCAAAGGATGTACATATTTGAGATTCAATATGTACACGATGGGTGTATAAACCATGTTGTTCCAAGGAAATCGATTAGTGTTGGCAAAACATGCATTATGTATGAGGAA